AACAGGTTCTGCACTGGAGCGGGATCAGTGTAGGGTGACCAGATGTCCCAATTTTATAGGGACAGTCCCGATTTTGGGGGCTTTTTCTTATATAGGCACCTATTACCCCCCATGGGGTGTCACCTCATGGGGGTGAGTAAAGGGCACTGGAAGAGGGAGACCAGGAGGGCATGGCCCCATCACTTTTACTAATAGGAGGGCTAGGCCTCCCACTTTTTACTGGCTGTAAGGGCGAGCAATGGCGGGGGAAGGGGCGGAGAGGAGCGACCGGGGGTCAGGGTCTTGGGGGGGAAGAGGCAGTGTGAAGGCCGGGGCTTGGGGAGAAGGGGCGATGTAAGGATGGGGGTTTGGGGAGAAGGGGCGGTGCAGGGGCAGGAGCTCGGGGAGAAGGGCTGGCACGACTGGGTGACCCCTTTACTTTTAGGGAGCTTCCATCACTCCTGGGGAGAGGACCATCCTGGATCCTGATCCATGGGCATATCTGTGTATTTGCCGGGTGCACAGAGGTTTCTGGGTGGAGACACTTTCACGCTCACCCAGGAACCTGTGCTGGGAGGCCCCACTGACCAGGAGGCCGAGGCTCTCACTCCCCTGCCCTAGGGGTGAAGGGAGAGGCCCTGGGGCTGCTGTTCCCCGTCCCAGGAAGGGGATGAAGGACGCTGTGAGGGGCAGATCTGGCTCCACCCTGGGCTTCAGAGCCTGGGCTCCAGCCAGAACCTGAATGTCTACGCGGCTATTTTTAATTCCAAAGAGGGAGCCCCGCAAGCCTGAATCTGGCCACTCCATTCTGAGACTCGCTTCTGCAGGTTGTGTAGAAGGACCCAAAGTGTCTCCAGAGTCTGGGTGTGAAAGTTCCCAGGGTGTCTGACCCAGGGCTGGTTAATGAGAGCGAGGGGGGGTGGGTGGCGCAGGTGTTAAATGGAGACACTTGAGCCCCTGGGGCTCTGAGATGGTCTCTGTGACCATTATCCACCATGGGACAATCGCTCTGGGCAGATAGTTCAGGCTGGAGCCAAGTCTCCATTTTCAGCCTGATTTATGGGGGTGAGATCAGAGCCTCAGGGGGCATTTGTCTGCCAAGAGCAAATTTAACAGCAGCTCTGGAGTGTTTCATAGCTGATGTCCTGAACCTGCCCTGCCCATACCTGTGCGTTTCTGGGGGTGTTGACAGTCACTCACTGCAAGTCACTGGGATTCGGGCTCCTAAGTTGCTCAGACAGGTTTGCAGTGGAGCTGGGTGAAATGTTTTGGACAAATAGTTTATTTGCTGCAAAATTATATTTCGAGTCAACAGAAACTATTCGCGTTTGCTGTCAAGTTTCAATGAACAGAAAAAGGTGCTGCTTCTTCCCTTCTAGCCTTTAGCCCAGCGGCTGGGCCCTCACCTGGGAACCCCAGGTTCAATCCCCCCGTGATTGATGAGGGTGATGTCATGAGGGCTCAAACTGCTGGGCTCCAGGTGTCTGACGACGTCCCCCTGTGTCTATACACTGCCATGGGCACTGGGCCAGAGCGTGGGAGTGAGAATGACACTGCAGCCCAGTGGGTCAGCCCCCACCTGGGAGCCCAGAGTCCAGCTCCCCTGCTCCAGTGACCCTGTAATTATTGATCCATAACCTCAGTGAGGGGAGGGGTTATGGCCCCTGGCACACCAGTGTCTCACGCCATGTCTGCCAGTGTTTCCTTGCACCGATGTAGCTGCACTGGTGCAAACCCCTAGTACAGACTTGCTGTGCGGGTGTGAACTGGGACTGGTCCCCGGTGCAACTTCTCCCAGATGGAGGGGGCAGTAAGTGGGGAAATGCCCCCTTCTCTCCCCACTGCCCTGGCCTCATTAGAAACAGCCCATTAGTGCACATTTATATCCCCTCAGAATCTTCCACTGTATTTCCCCCCCCCCCCCC